AAAAAATATAAATTTTAACAAAGTTAGATGACACTCTGAACGAGTGCGGAGCCTCTCGAATAGCTCCAAGCGAGCAGTAGCCTCTACTAAGGGAATCTGTTTATTTACATTTTGTTTACACGTTTTTGGGAGGCAGAAATGGGGTAGTGGAGAGACCGGTTGTCACGAGCACGGTCCACCGATCAAATCCTTTTCAAAGCTCCGCCGTCCTCGATCCTTCCGCTACCGCTTGATTGGTACTAGTCTTTCCCAACAGTACAACAACACTGGAGTGGAAGGCGAACTCGCCCGAGGGGAACAACTGAACAAGGTGTTCGCTATATAGGCTGAACATGCATTCATGACTCCCACGATTCCGAAATATGTAGGATGCATGAAAAACCAATTTTTGTCTTACGTTTAAATTTTTTTGAATCGATGAGGCATAAAACATATGGAAAACGCCTTAAGAACTGGCTCGAAGAGGAGCTGAGTCAGCGAAAATGGGAACGGGTCGAATTCCCGAAGGACGCGTCTCGACGACATTTAATGAGGAACAGACGGTTGGCCGAGTTTTTAGCTGAGTTTTTGCCTTCCAGCGCTTTGAAAAATTGAAAGTGTCGCCAGATTTAATGCCGTTTTCCCCACTGAGGTCTTCTTGTATAACAGCCTGAACGTTCTGATGAACATTAGAGCTCTTCGAAAAAGAGAAGACACCATAGACGTACTGCAAGGTCTGAGAAAACCACATAAGAGTCTATGTAGCAAGAAGGGGACATTTGACACCACGGCGAATTTCTTCGGTTACACGCATGTGGAAAAAGCACCATGAACTAGTGAGCAGCTAGAATTAAACCCTACGGAGCCACGAGAGAGACTAAGGGGTGCGCGAGCAACTCTCATCTCACACAAAGTTCCTCCCCTCCCTATCTTATAGAGTACAAATATAGCAAAGTACAAGCAAAACTGAAGGAAGTGCCGTGGGAACAAAGCCATCATCAGTGTGTGACTTCAAAGGACTCCCTAAAAATGCACACGTCTAAATAAACGAGTTGGGCCTCTGCACCGCGATCCCCTTCCTTGATATATAACCCTCAGAGAACTAAGAAAAAAGCTGATCCAGAGGAAAATAATGGCGCGACCTCATAAGGAAAATTGTGATGCGACCAGAAGCTTCCCCGCTCCCTTCGGAGGCCTCAAGAAATGCGGTGAGAATCGCCAGCAGTTGAAGCTGTGCGGAGTATGAGAGTAGAGGAAGGGCGTTTTTATGTGTTCAATATTTCACAACGAGTGATCGCTGGGCAATCCTAATCCCAGCCGGGCACGTTTTCATTATGTGGCTGTATTGAACAGAAAAGAATTGAACAGATAATTAGGTTTTCGAGAATGAAATGCCTGAGGACGGCAATCACATAGCGCCAGCGGCAACAGAGGATGAATAGGAAAGAAAAAAGAAGATAACAGTTCTGCGTTCCCAATTTGGGCCCACTTTTTCTGGGAGGAAGGTGGCCAACACTATTTGTTTACAGTCACGCCAAAACTGATGATGCGCATTGAAGAGTCGGCGTATGCGTAGTTAGGGGGGCGGGGGATAAATCGCGGGGGCGTTAATCCCGGGAACAGTAGTCCCATATTCCACAGAAGGAGGAAGCTTTTGGGTGGGTGTGAGTTTGCTTATAAAAACAGGGAACTAACTGGGCATGAAAATAGAAATGTTTATCATGGCGGATGCTTTGGGTGCTTTGCATCGCTATCTCCTC